CCTCCTGCCTATCTTGGACTTTCCTGATAGCGTATTCTAGCGCAAAGTTAAAGAGCAAGGGAGACAGAGCATCTCCTTGTTTTAGACCGTTCTTGATGAGGAATGTCTCAGATACATATTTACCTACTCGAATTTTGCTGCAGGTTTCATTTAAGCACATTTTTATTAGACCCACTAGCTTCTTTGGTATACCAAATTCAATAAGAATATTATATAGCACTTCTCTCTTCACAGAGTCATAGGTTTTTTTGAAATCTATAAATAACTGATGTGCGGTCCCACCGAACTCCCATTTTTTCTCTAGTATCTGACGAATGCAAAAGATCTGATCAATCGTTGATCTGTTTCGTCTGAATCCACACTGATGATCCCCAATAATTTCATTCGCATATGGAGTTAATCTTGCCAAAAGTATGTTTGATAGAATTTTATATGAATTGAAATATAAAATGTTCATCTATTTTTAAGTAATTTATCTCTGTCGCACTGAAGACAACTAGTGTAAAAACTGAGCTACATAGAATCTTTCGTACACAAACGTAGTTATTTACTATTTGTGGCTGTCAAAAAACGGAGTCCCTTCATGGCCATTGTTGTACCACCACCATCAACAATAACTGCAATTACCAAGTCACTACTTTTGCTCCAAGATTCAAATATGAGTTCACTGTAATGATTTAACTAATCACTAAAATACTCAATTATGGATTCTAATGTGATATTAAAATTATGTTTTCATTTCAATATTTAAAATCATTCTTCTACTCGAAGACTCACGGCACATTTGGCAAAAGTTCCGGTATGGACTGTCAGCACAAGTCCCCAATTATGTTTTAAGAATTCATGTATGTTGTAATATGACATGATAAAAAGTCATAAAAAATCACAACTAAAACCCATTAGTGACGTAATATGGAATGACTCGTACGCGTCTGAAATAGAAAAATGTTTGAGTTCCTTAGGATTACATTTAGAAAATGATGATCAGAGCTGCGTTGCATAAAGACTGTACCGATTTTCATAGAAACTGAAATAGCATCAAGAACTTGTAAGAAAGGTCCAGGAAGGCACATACAACAGATTTCTGAACATTTTTATTCTAACATCAAGCACTGAACATACTTGTACACAAATGTTCTCCAAACTGTCAGATAACAAGCACAATCGTTTTATATTTGTAAAATTCAAACAATGCCAAACTTTTCTGGATAAGCCTTAATTTCTTCTTGCAGTCGTTTCTCAATGGCTGGCAAGATCAGTCTATCAGACGGCAGATTGTAGCTCACATATACTGCCATTTGGGACTTCTTTGTTAATCGACTAGCAAGGTTCAAAGACGCCATGTCACTCTGGGCCCCCATAAGTCTGGTACAAAGAGGTAATCTGTCATAGCTGGTGTTTAATGCCATTCCTAAGTCACTGAAGGTTGGGTCTGTCCCTGAACCTATCCATATTAAAAGGCTATTCTCCATCTTCAGCACTTGGAAGTGCACTGGAGTTGCAGCAACTTCTGTGCCAAAACTATGAATTTCACAGTTAGGTTTCATGAATTCGATGGAAGCCGTTCCACTCGAAGCCGATGACGGTACATGTTCATCCATTTCAGCTATCTGAAAACATCCATCACTTATGCTGAAGAAGTAAAATTTAGTATCCCTATTATATGTAATTGTTACTTCTCTCTGCCAAATCAGTCATTAGCAATTTCGCACAGCCTTCAGCTTCCAGTCACACAATGATCTCAGTAGATCTCTAGAAGTAATCCCTCAACATAAAACTTTTAAATCTATTTCCTTATATTATGAGGAAAGATACCCCACTTAATGGTACCTGCACCTTGTCGTGGTGGTGGGGCTTGAGTACCTCAGTGACCTCAAGAGCTACTGGTAGGGCCTCCCTAGCCAGATTGGTCGAGGGGGAGAGGTCAGACTAAGACAGGTACCCTGGTCCTCCAGGTTGGGGGTTGGTCGCAAGGCTAACAGCATTGTACCGTAAAAAGGAAGATGTTTCGAAACCTCGATCAAAGCCTCGGACAGACGGGCCTAACAGAAGGACCGAATGGAAGAGGAGAATTGAGGAGGCTATGGACCGAATACGGACTGGAGAGCCATAGAAGAAGAAGAAGATGAGGAAAGATAGGCTTATGATATCGTGTCTCAATGTCTCTGTGTATATATCATATGTCTGTCAATCTTAAACAAGTTTCAAACCACATTACATTTTCATGAAAATTGTTATGTGAGTGACACTGCAATACTGAAATTCTGTTTGATCTATAGAATGTACAAGAATGTGCCAGATGTTTAACTTAAGCTTTTTGGTAAGAACTACAATGAATGTTTGGTGTTAACCAAACATTCCTGTAACCATCACAGTTGAAGTTTTGTGGGTGGTTGGATATCTTGATTGCCTCCTTGATTATGTGGGAATGACAACTGCTGATGTTGGCAATGACTTCTGTTTTGTCAAAGTCAATGACATGTCTGGTGTCTGTAGAATTCTCAGCTACTGCTGATTGCTTGTTCTCCAGTCTGGTGTCTCTTATGTGTTCTGTAATTCTGCTTGCTTGGAGAATGGACAATGGAGAATGATGTCTGAGATTCAGTTGGCCTCGACATAGATAGTGTTCATTCCTTCCTCTTGTCACATCTCCACCAAGACTAAGGGAAACAAAAGAGAGACTGGGGAACCAGTTATCAGCGGTAGGCGATAATTCTGCAGCCACTATTGTCCGCGAGCCACGAGAGTAGACCTGACACCTTTGAGGGAGGTGGGGTAGAATTCTGTGCTACTAGCGGACCAAAAAACCACCCGCAGCTTATACAGGCCGTACATCATGAGTTAATGTACTGACTGACTGATAGCACAATGTTCTTAGGTAAGGAATACATCACCAGCGCATGCGCAGAACCCACTTTCCCCCTGCCACACAAGCAACGGCAGACAAGGCCACGTCTACTCTCGTGCCTCACTAACAATAGTCATAGCAGTGAATTTGACCCAATAGAAGTCTTTGCTAACATCAGCAGCTACCATCCAGGGAGGCAATCGAGATATTCAAGCACCAACACAACTTCAACTACAAAGATGGTCACAAGCTATGCAAAACCCGGCTTCACCTATTTCCCCCAAGCTGACCCTACTGGGCCCTCAACAGGACATGTCCACCACCACCACCACTACCACCGTCTCTCTGAACCTTGTGGTTGATAAACAGCCACCACCCCCTTCCACTTAACTGCTGCAAATCCTTTCCCATCCGACATGGTCACCTCCTTCCCTCAACCACATGCTCCTCCGCTCCACTGATCAGCACCATAAAATTTATCTTGCCACTCAATGACTGCCATAAGGTCTTATGAACTGCTATGTCAGAGCCACTGACTCCCAGACACCCACTCTTATTAAATACTAATGGACATGGTTAGGTCAGGCTCTGGAACGTGAACAGCAACTTCAATCATCAGTTCCTCACCAGACAATGATTCAGATAATTCCAGAACAAAACTGGTTTCTGGCTACTTAGCTACATAGCGTGACTATCACATACTGTAGAGTCTCAGCAGTGAGCAACTTGAATCACCATTGTCAGGTTAACAAGTAACTGTTGGTGACAGTGACTTTTTGAGTAACACTGACTGAATCAATGTTTCTCAAACTTGGTTACTTTCAGTGTCTATGCACTTAACAACTTTTTAGTGGCAGCCTTCTTCAAAATTCTGAGGTGACAACCCTAACCAATAATATGAATTTACTGATATCAGTAAATTCAAAAATCGTTTGCATATTAAACTATACAGCTGCAACAAGCAATCATCGGTGTGTGTCAATGCCACACATAAATCATCATACCTCACAATTTGGGGTTAAGACCGACTGAAGTGGCATGAATATTAAAAATTACACTTTAGAATAAATAAGCCATAACATGCATGGAAGTTTGTTACACCTTACGTTTTCGGTAAAACAGACGTGTTCTGTCTATCACATTTCAAAATTAAGGTACTGGAAATCCGTATTCACCATTAAAATAAACGGTAAAAAGTCAGCAACACACGGTTCTTATATCTGAAAGCTATCTAGTCATGCATATGACTCAGTTCAATACAAAATAAATGTGTAATAATATACCTCAAAACTGAAGTAATTGTAAGAACCAGTGCGCCACTAAAACTATACAGTACTTATATAAGTTTTAACAGAATCTTTTAGAAGCAACCACAAAACATTAGTTGAAAACATTTCTTCGACATTATGTTGGTAATAATCCGTGTTTTACAGAATCACCAACGTAGTAACTTTGAATTGAATGTGACGTACTCGTAATAAACAAACAGTTGAAGATGCACTAAAGATGCAAAAGCGGTTTGTATGTACAAATCCAATTTTATCCATATCTCATTCACTTTTGATTTTAAGTACATGGGAAAAAGGTATTGTATGACCTTACATTCTGTAATAACTAAATGACCAATCCGAAATCAACTGAAAATTTCCTGATAACTTTCAGTGCTGGTTCTCTTCTGTGGTAACTGAACCAAAATTTTCAGCACTGTTATTTCATGTCAAAGCCTATCCTCTAAACCCATTTCTCTTAGATTGTTTTATTTTCCTCCAACCTTATTGTAGGTGTCCCTTTGCTTCCATATTAGCTCACTTTGGTTTTACTACCCTACCAAAAAAGGGAGCTGTGCACATTCCTTATTATGTAGCACAGTACGGTCCCGATTATCCGATCTTCCGTTTTATTCCACGTAATGTGTCAAAAAGCTCCATTTTATCAACAAACAACTGTATGTACATGTACTGGTGTGAATCTTCCCATAGCGCATCAACTGCAGACATACTACTGTACACTTGCTGCTATGACCTTGCCGCAAAGAAAAGGAGCTCGGAACAAAATCACTCACTCTCTCACTATATGGTGGAGGAAATTATTTGAAAAGTCATCACTGTGTTCATAAATGCCCGCCACCGGACTCTATCCTCAGCTAGCTGCATCCAATTCGCTCCATCGATTCCTGTCTCCCTAAGATCCATCTTAACGTTATCCTACCATCTACACCTAGGTCTTCCCAGCGGTCTCCTCCGTTCAGGCCTCCCAACCAATAGTTTGTAAATACCTCCATGTTATGCCCTCAGCACAACTGGAAAAATTACACATTTGTAAATTTTAATCTTTAAGTGTTTTTTTATATGAGAAGGCAGGACAAAATATTGTGGACTGAATGTTCTTCTAACTTGTTGATTCATTAGCTGTCCTTATATTCTGGTTCTATCCTGAATTATGATGCCAAGACATTATCATATTCTTGGTCTTTTCTGTATTTTTCTCTATCAATATCCCTACTAGCCCTTAAGATTGTTTCTGTGTTCACTTTGATAGTATTTATATTATTGCCAAACAGATTAATGTCATCGGTGGAGACCAAAAGCTGATGTGTCCCATTCAGTTCTAAACTACCCTGATTTTCTTTGACTTTCCTGATGGCACATTCTAAGGCAAATTGAAAAGCACCAGCAACATAGCATCTCCCTGTTTCAGGAAATTTTGCTAGAGGTTTCACTTAAACACGTTTGTATTCACCCGAATAGCTTCTTAGATACACCAAATTCAAGCAAAATATTATAAAGAGCTACTCTTTTAACTGAGCCACAGGCTTTCTTGAAGTCTATAAATAGTTGATGGACTGTCCCATTGTACTCCCACTTTTTCTCTACTATCTCGCAAATGTAAAAAAATTGATCAGTTGTAGATCAATTATGACAGAACCCACACCGATGATCACCAATAATTTCATTAGCATAAAGAGTCAGCATTGCCAGAAGAATGTTGGATAAAGTTTTGAGACAGATGATAAGTGAGATTCCTTGATAAATATTACAATCAATCTTATCACCCCTCTTATGAATTGGTACAATAATAGATTCCTTCCACTGCTGTGCATTTTCTCCTTATTCCATATAGTGCAAATAGTTTGTCTATCTCAGAACACAACATTTTGCCTCCTGCTTTGATCAATTCAACCAGAATCTGATCTGTACCTGGGGACTTGTACTTTTTCAACTTCTCAGTAGCAGTGTCCTCAGAAAAAAATACCATTACTAATTTTTTTAACAAATAATATTCCTCTGCTGTAAGAAATTACACAGTACACTAAATTTGAGTGAACTATTAAAATTTAAGAAAATGTGATCCCTGAACTTTGTGGATGAGAAAGCGGTGCAGGAGAAGGGATTACATTGAATTAATGATAATTATTTTAGAGTTAGGAAAAATTATATAATTTTATCAGTGTACTAAGTATTAAATAACTGTATACTTTATATACTTATTCATTTGTTTTTATTTATAATACTTCACATGCCAGCATGGAGCATATGAAACCTATTTTATATATCAGATTTGTATAACTTCAGTATCATTTTCTATTCATTCTATGCAAAGAAATTGAGATTTAAATAAAAGTGACATCAGAGATACTCAAATGGCTGTAGACTAATGTGTGCTTTTTAAAATCTTTTAAGCTAATCTAAAGGCTACTTCACATTAGAGTAAATGACTAGGTAACACTTTCAATTGAACCTCAGAGAAGAAAGAATGGAAACTACCTTCTGTGGTATACGAAAATAATTGAAGGTTATGTAAGCCAAATGCAGCATGATTTACGTGGGTACACGAAAGATTCAGCATAACTAAATATGCACAGTATATTATTAAACTGCCTTTATCCAGAAACATGACACTGAAGAAGTTTATGCATTTGGGAAAACAATGAGATAAAATTATCTGGAAACTATGAACTATTAACAATATATTTGTTGATTCTTATATTGGAACATAATGTTCAAGAATCATCCATGAAATTACACTAGACTAAAGCAACATAATGAACATTCCTCGGTATATTGTTTTCAGAATGTCTGAAAAGTCACATTAATTTCAAAATGGCCAAGAGACAGTTTCGTTTATTCACGGAAATGGTGTTGAATTCTGGTTTATTAGATTGGATTTCAAGCCTCTGTTTATCATGCATAAAGACATGTTAGATGTCCAGTAATGCAGGTTTTGTCTCTTTGGCACATTTTAGAACAGACTGAATAAGTTTTACGAAACCGGTATCCTTCGGCTTCTCAAGACCTCGAAGAAGGCGATTTTTCATTACAGCAACAAACTCTCGGTTACTAAGCTGGCCGTCAACTGTAAAAAAGAAAATTCACTTTACCATATATGAAATACACAACAGTAAAGAAACAACTTCCAGCAAAGTAAAACACAACTAGCAGCTACACCATACCTTTGAAGACTGCCTCATATTTTCCTTGTTAAATGCTTATGAAAACATAATTTTATTTCACGTAATTGATCCTTTATCAAGCTTATATACTTTTAATATAAGTTATACTTTAAACGATTTCTATATTAATTTACATGTTATTTTATCAGTCTTTATATATATATATATATATATATATGAAGGGATGTTTCTCTGTTTTTGTCCCGTTTGCACTGTCACAGCAGGTCGGCACGACCGGTGAACTCACAGTATTTTTTTTATTAAGTGTTCTGTCTTACGACAGGTCCATTGCTCTGCCCAAAAAGAGCTCTCCAGTTGTCCCTATTCTTGGCTTCTCGCTTTAATTCCTGGAACGTCATCTTCTTTCCTTGTTTAAGGTCGTCGGTTAGCTGTATCAATCTTCTTCCTCGTCCTCTCTTTCCTTCAACCTGGCCTTCGATGATATCACTCAGTATTCCATTCCTTCTCATAATATGTCCCTGCCAGTTAGCTTTCCTTCGTGTAATCGCCTGCAGAATGCTTCTTTGCTCGTTGACTCTCCTCAATACTTCTTCGTTGGTCACTCGATCCGTCCACCTGATCTTCTCTATTCTTCTCCAACACCACATTTCATATATATATATGGTTTATTAAATAGTTCAGATGACATCTTCTACAAGAAATAGTATTACTTACATGGAGTTTTCCTACCCTTCAATATCTTAGGTATAAAACTAAAGTTTTGTCTGTCAATAGCTTTTCCTGAAGCCAACTCATTAGATATTCTGATAAAAATTTGAACCGTATGAATTTCATGACATACTCTCTCTTTTCATCTCCTGGAATTCATATTCACATTGTATGTCAGTAAAAACTGTGTTATGCCCCGTAACCATGTGCCTAAAATTTTGTAAAAAAATATTATCCTAGCATTTGGTCTATTACATTAAACATGGTTGATTCTTTTTAAGAAACATCACCAATATACAAAAAGTATGATTTTAATCTCCAAATTTATATGAAAATGGTCATTGTACTCACAGTGCTTTGTTAAACTGTGGTACTACCTCCAAGCATGATGCAAATCATGAAACTTACCAATTACACTAGGTCCGTTATTAAAAGCTCTTTATGGCCGTCAATTAAGTCTCCAATTTATTTTTCCCAACAACCCTTGCACAGCGTGTTTGATCTAATTATTCACTGTAATTTTCACACGTGCTATCAAACTTGCTTCATAGTCTGATTTCCAAAATCCATAGTGATATCATCAGAGTATGAGATCTGATACAGTAACTGGCAACTTCAGTTGCTGTGTGATGGACCACATGAAAATGAGTCCATGAAAAAACTGTACTTAAAAAAAATCTCAATGGAAAGAAGATCTGAGAGAAAAGGAAATTTATTTAGACCTTTCAGCAAGACTCTTGAGAGAAGCTAATTTTGTTATGTTGTAAATAAGCATCTGAGATGTTGGTGTGCATGCATGGTAAGTGGTAATTATTTTTATTTCTTTAACAGAGTACAAATATGAATTTGGTGTGATAAAATCTCAGAGTTGACTGATTGATGGATTGTAGTTGCACTACATATCCCAGAGATTTCTTCCCATAAATGATCCACATACATACGACATAGGAGAAATAAAAGCATCTGTCTGAATTAACCTTTGTCAGCCGTGACACGTGGTCCAGCTGACCACATGTTGCAGCAGCATACTCTTGACTCCTGGAGTTAAGTCTAGCCATCAGCCCTACACACAGGAGCTTAAATCCCCTACTCTGATACAATAAGGGTTAAACCCCAATGTGGAATCACTGATTAGATTGAAGAATACCCCACCACAAGCCTGGAAGTATTAAAAGTAAAGCTGTCCCACTATACGCCATGTAGGCGCTTGGGGGGGAGTGGAGGTATAGCTCCTACTCATTCTTGACCTCGGCAAGCTACGCCGGCTCACCCTGGAAGCATTAAATGGATGCCATTTCACATTGGTCTAGTATAATATAAAATCTGTTTGGCTGTAACCTGTATATTTAATGTTCTTCTGAGAATAGCATTTTGTATGAAATATTTAGTTTAGTGGCAGTATAAATTTTCAGTGCATCACAGATATTTATTATCTGTAAGTAATCAAGTTTTAAACTTTGTGGAGAGATTAAATATATATTTTCACATACTGAAAGTAAACGCATAAACTTCTAGGTATTTCTAGCCTATCACCTTGGAAAATACTTTGTGACAATTGAGCCATGCCTCATGGCTCGAAGTGGCTTATCTCCCATATCTAAGTTCTTTGGAGTCGGCGGCTTCGAGACCCTGATGAGACAGCAGTGCAGAAGGACAGTCTGTGTGTGTCCGCCGGAGAGAGAACGACTCGAGGAGAAAGTCGGAAGGCAAGTCAGGGTTTGTGGGGGTTGAGTTGGGCATCTGGGGTTGGATACCCAGCCGGAGTTTGAGCCCTGAAAGGTGTCTTGATTCTTTTTATCCTATATTTAAATATTTTTCATTAAATAATATACTTCGATTATTCGACGTAGTTTCTTTTGACTTTTCACCGCTTTACCCTCCCCAAGCCGTACCACCTCCCGGCCTGGGACGATCGTGGCCTCAGTAACGTAATCTGGCAATCTCCTCCTCGGGGGGGTTCACAATATATGACCAAACAACTGTTGGCCCAGGAAGTAAAAAATATGGTTTGAGTTTAATGGAAGGTTTGAGAGATTTCTTTCTGAGTAAGAAGAGAAAGGTACAGTCAATACAATGTGGTGTTTGATCAAAAATGGTGTGATGTGTTCATAAAAAACCTACCGAGGACATCATAAACTAGTTTCCATCTGCTTCAAGAATGCATTCTGCCAGACATGTGCATCCTTCCTTTCTCTTACCCCCACCTTTGCCTCTCTCACTTCCTACTTTGAACTCCTTTACCTGCAAATTAAAAAATGACTACTGTGCAGGTTTCTGTCTGTATAATATCTTGTAAAAATGTTATTGGATTTTGTTTTCTAAATTTCATTTCAGCACCTGGGGAATGTCCTGTAACAGTGGTCACCTGATGTGATGTTCACCAGGTAATTTATAAACTTGTTTCATTTTCCTGTGTTTGATTCTTGGGGGGACGGGGGTGCAGTGAATGTTGTGACAGTTTTAGGGAGACTTCCATTATATTTTGTTTTGTCCTCCCTGATGTTATGACATTTTGCTTTATTCGTATAGATCACCATATTTACAATATTCTCTGTTTTTATTGTATTCAATGTAAATTCAGAAAAAAAAACACACACGCACACGCACACCTCATATCTTTTAATTAAGCTTACACCTTATTCTGTTCTGCACTTGGAAATGTGTAACTGCCTCGTTAGGTCCACGAAACTGCCATAACTCAGTTGTTCGATAAATAGTTATCACAAAAAATTACAAGTGCTAGCAGCAGACAAAACTGTACAAAATGCAAATGACATCGACACAGATGTTATTCCTGAATCAAGTCCATCAGAATCATCATCATAAGACAATGGAGACTTTCTGAATTATCAGATAATTTGAGTCAGCCACGCTTTTTTGGATGAGCTTGTCATCCCACCATTCCACCCCTTGTCACCAATCCTGCAGAGCAATTCACGGCCTGATACATTTTATAACCCGTGGCATCATGCAGATAACTGTTGGTGAAACCAATTTGTATGCACAACAGCAAATTACAGCGAAGTTGCCAAAACTCGGCACAAAGCAATGATGCAGTAAACAGTGGCAGCCTGTAACAATTATGGAAATGAAGGTGGATAACAATTATGATGTGACACACTGAGGTTTCTGCTTCGGCCCTTTGAAGGGAAAGGATACCATCTTCATCAGGACAACTATTATAAGAATCCAATTCAGAGAAGCCCTCTTGGATAAAAACTATCCACCTGAATTGTGTTTTTGCAACAGACTTGACTGAAGAACTTACAAATCAAATCCAGAGGAGGTCACTTTTCAACAAGATGAACTTGTTCTCATCGTCTGGGACAAATAACTGGTAAATATGATATAAATTCTTTGCACAGCAGGAAATACAGATGCACCGAAAATGGCAGGAACGTCAAAGGTGAAGCCGAAGTGCATCATTGATTATAACACGTACACGTGGCATGGATTATGCTGACCATAATATTTCTTATTACCTTGAAATATTAAAGACAAAAAGTGGCTAAAGAAAGTATTTCTTTTATCTTCTGCAATGTGCTCTTTCCTTCTTCCTCTCAAAGAAAGTGTTTCTTTTATCTCCTGCAATGTGCTCTTTCCTTCTTCCTCTAAACACGCGGCATCTTGCCACAAACTCTTGCACCTTCAAAACAGGCACCTACGTGAGATCGTGAAAGCAGACTGGACAGCAAAATGATATACCAAGAACTCACTCACATTCCTACCACCAAAGGTGACAAGATATTGCAGAGGATGTCTCAAAGGCAATATCAAGAGAGAAACAGGGTTTCTGTGTACTATGTGTGGAGATCCTTGAATTGTCAAGGACAATATTAAACACAAGGTAAAATATTTAATACTTTTATATTTCGAATGCTGTAAAATATGGCTCTACTTCACAGAATGCAAAACCACATCATTGGGCTCTGTCCCAGCAATTTAGGGGAAGTGATAAATTAAACATAAGCAGTGAATGTGTTAACATTTAAAAAATTCTGCACTTACAAATTTAAAAAACTTTGCTTTCAAGTGCCACATACTTTACCTCCCTACTGAAGTACATGTGATGAGTGACAGGATATATAAACAGAAGGGTTCAATATTTACAATAACAGTGTTAAGAATGTCTCAAACTTACGATTTTCATCAAAGATGGTGAATACCACATTAATCACATGGTCACTGAGGTCAACATGGGCCACTGTTTTTGCAACATGCTTCAGGGTTGCTGAAACAATATAATTATCATGTATAGTAATTGTTTTCTAGTATACTACTACTGGAAAAGTATATCTAACTTAACGACTTACCAACTTACCATGGTCAATGGAAGCACCAGCTATGTGATAAAATGTTAGTGCTGTATCCACATCATTTATATTATTTAAGAAATGATAGAACTTCAGGTAGTCATCTCGACTTATACCCTTTGCATCCTCCTTGAATCTGTAAAAAAAATCCAGATATACTAATTTCTGTAAAATAACGTTTTCAGATACTACATTTTGATTCTAATGTTAACAGCTTTAAATTTTCATGAACTTCCTCTTTGTATAACAGATGTTACCAGCACGTAAATACTCCAAGGAGAGAAGCCCTTGAGAAGCTATTAGTAACCTCAGCTAGCTAACAAATTCCCAGGGCGAGCCTCAGCTACTGGGTGGGTCACAGGTGGCGGATAGTGAATGGCCCTCAGATATGAGGGTTAGCTGTGAATAAGGGGAGACCCAAATAAGCAGTCCCGGACTGAGGCGGCAAGACCGGAGAGCGTGGGAGTGTAGCCGGTGGCAGGGCTACGCCCATCAAATACCACATGAGCTCAGTGAAGGTCCTGTGACCTGGCGAGTAAGCACTGCCAGTAAGTAAGTGCTGCTCCCACTGCGTTGTGGGTAGGGGAGGGATCCCCAAAGGCTAAGGGAAGGAAAACCCTGACAGAAAACCAAGGGGTAGAGGGGGCTCCATAGGTGTAGAGAAACCAACCCTTCTTAGGGAATGAACCCTGAATAAAAACTTCCAGTCCTCCAGGAAGATGGGGGTTGGACACTGAGTTAACAACCCAATTCTGGAAAAAGATGACGTTCAGACACTTTTGAAACGAGGCCTCGGAAACATGACCCCCTTTGGTAGACGACATGGAAAACAGAAAAAGGCGTAAGAGGCTGGAGAAGAAAAGCACAGAATAGGGAAGACTGGACATCGATCGCAAGAGAAGCCAAGGCTACACTGAAAGGGCCGTAGTGCTAAAGAAGAAGAAGAAGCTAACAAATTCGTTGCTTGTTATGGAACACAAGGGTTTGTTACCATATTCATAAGAGCCCATCAGTTGTCCCTATCCTCAGCCAGATAAATCCAGTCCCCCCCCCAACCATTTCCCTAAGGAAGGATTGTGGAAAGATACAGAAGAATGGTGACTCCGGAATCAGAAGACATTAGTGATGCTGAGAAACCAATTCCTTTAAATGTCCTTGTACCCAAATTTTTTCTTTGGGGATGGGCACAGGGGATGGAACAAGATGTCTTTCAGTTTAAAGTGGACAAATATTGAACTCAATTTGATTCCTTTCTTTCTTGTCTTAGCGCTACACATACCAAAGAAGTTACTAAATACTAAAAATACAATTGAAATGGCACAGAATATCAGATAGACAGAATAATAATAAGAGTGTTCTGGAGAACGATTCAGAAACAAAGGCATATGTAACAAAACTGTAGTAAAAAATTCAATCATTTTTAGTAGTATGATGCTAGTTCAGAAAGAATAAAAAAGTGATTTTAATCACAGAGAAAAATTTAGTGCCAATTAGTATCACCAACAGGATAAAAGAAACTGTAGTTCAGGTTCCAATGCAAAATGCAGTTCTTCAAGACTAACCGTGGTGGTTTCATAAAACTAGCACAATAAGGATATAAAGTCTGATTCAGAATGTATAAAGAGATGGTGAATCAAAGAGAATATGCAATGGCTTTCATGTTTTTCTTCCCATATGGCTATATAAAAGTGGTAAATTTTAGGAAACTGTGATAAGTCCACAGCTTACATAACTGAGGACTGAAAGTACAAAAGTTCGGTGATAACAGCAGCCTTAAGTACATAAAGGAAAACAGCAACTGTGTAAACAAGAAATTTATGATACTTTTCTTCTGGGTTTTGGTGCCATGCAGACTCATCGGGTAGATGCCAATGAGTCTATCTCACTGCTGTGAAAACCTTTAACTTCATAAGAGACTGCTTGCTGAATGTGAATTACAATTTGACTTCTATACATTTCATAAATTTACTGTAAAAAACTTTGAGGATGTTTATATTTGATGGGTCACACAGTTTTAACTAGTCCAGACCACAAAAAAAGAAGTATGATACTGTCACACAATCACTGACCAGTGGGTTCTTACTCAAGATAAATCTATTGAACACTAATATGGTTGCAATTACAAATAAACTGGCAATTCGTTTCCTTAAATACATGATCTTTTGGAAGCTGAGTCTGTTTTTGTCATCAGCTGAAACTGTACAACCTGGTCAGCTCTTTCTGGAATGTCATACATATTTAAATGTCCAAGAATTTAATGGAATGCTTTCATCAGAAATCTTAAGACACATATTTAAACTTTTAATTCAGATTCCATTTTCTGTTCACTTACACTTTCTTGACTCTCTTAAGCATTCGAGTCTTCTTCTTTGGTGGATAACCAGCATAAGCTAAAAGTAATTCTGTGAAGTCAGCTTCAGTGATATTTCCATTTTCATCCGGGCCTTTCCTTTGGAACTGTAACAACGAAAAATAAAATGGAATAAACTTGGGGGGGGGAAGAGAAGAGGAGTAGTAGTTAAAAATCACTGTTCTGTTAACTGAACAGGATTTTCAGTATAATTCCACACAGTAAAATTCTTGTTTCTTATGTACAATAAACATTACATTAAAAAAATTAAAATTTCTTAAATACCCTTATAATATTAATTTAATCTCAAATCTACAAGATATATGTAAAATGATCATCATAATAATCACTATATGAACAATAAGCACACAAGAATTCCTGTTTCGATAAAAACAGAAATTGAAGTTCTGTGAAGTGTGACCTAACATTTTAAGAAGTGCAGTATCTGTCTACGTTGAAAATCCAAAAAGTCCACAAAACTCTGGGAAAATGACACTTTATTTATTATCCATTACGTGTTAAGAAGGCAAAAAATATATTAATGTAACCTTAAGTTTCAGACTTCATAAGCTTTACTAGCAAGAAAAGTATTATATAGCGATGATTTAATTTTTAACAATGATATTTAGCCTATATCTGATATATGGGAACTCTATCCCAGAAGGCAGTTAATGGTTAATATATATTTTTTTTTGTAGTGTTCTGTCTGACGACAGGTCCATATGAACAGGATCCTTCCATCCTTTTCTCGGACTGGGACCTGTTCATATACGTTCTTGGCAGATGATCCAGAAGTGGTTTGACATTGC